TTTATTAATTACAATTAATAATTCTATTTACCACCTGAATTTTGAATTGTAAACTTTATTACCTTATTTTTGAATTGTAACCTTGAAAAGAAGGGTTTTGGGTAATTTTCTCTAAAACCAAAGGCAAACCTAATAACAATTGGGCCAAAATTGACATATCCATCAACAAATCCAACTCCAACTTGGGCCATCCATGAGCGTTGGACCACGAGCAACATTAACTTAATTAAGCTGCTTATAGTGGCCTAAGTTGTTTTCGGGGCAAGTTATCACTAAGGTTTAGATAAAAAAAATTTCTAACATCGTTTTAACATTATCGCTTGAGATTTATTGGGTATCAAAATCCAAAAAATCTCCACCATGATACACAATCAACCTGTAAGCAAAAAGAACACAAAGTTTATACTTGCATAAACACCAATATGGCCAAACACATGGTGATTGGGCCAATATAAAAGACCACATGGGCTACTTAAAACCAAAGGCATAACAATTGGGCCAAAACTCACATATCCATCAATAACAAATCAAACCTCAACTTGGGCCACCCATGAGTGTTGGGTCACGTGCAATATTAATTTAATTAAGTTGCTTCTAGTCTCCTAAGTTGTTTTCGGGTTGAGTTATCACTAAGATGTCGACAAAAACTTTTCCAACATCATTTTAACATCATCGCTTGAGATTTATTGGATATTAAAATCCAACACAGGCAAGTTGATAAAACCTATTGGCAAGAAGTGAAGGTGTGAGATTGAAGCATATAGGGACAACGACCTCTTATTAGTAAAAGCTCCAAAAAACGAGATATTAACTTGCAATGCATGTCTCATTCAACTAAGGAAAGATCATAGTGTTTTATAAAAGGAAAAAAAAAATAGTACTTGATCAACATGATACCTAGACACAAAAAATCTGCCTTGAAGACTTAATAGCGGCATAAGAACACTATTTTGCTGATATTTGCTTCAACCTAAGCAAGACGCATTTTTTATACTTGGAGACCTAGACTTGGGCAGCCATACCTATTAAAGGCTCTTTCTTTCGCCTAAGATTTTTCTGCATTTATGTACTTGGAGACCTATGCTTATGGCACTGCTATCTCTTGAAGGCCTCTTTCTTTCACCAGACATTACTTTTTAAGTTCACTTATTTTCAAGAAGACATTCTGTGTCTAACCACCTAATTCTCCCAACCCTACTTGTAAAGCTCAATTGTTTTATTCTGCTTTTGTTATTTATGCAAAAATCACCAGACAACTCCACATCAAACACCATGTTGACAACGTTGAAAATCCCTAGACATAAAAAAGTATAAGCACAAGCAAAAAGCAGAATAAAGAAAAACAAATCAAATCAATCAGTTAGATAAACTCAATCTTAACTGTGGAAACATAAAAGAGATTCATAACTCAAGATTCAAAGGCTTGTAGGGATATAAAACAACACTCAAATTCTCTCCAAGGACTGAACTAAGCCATAAAACAACCATAGACATCAGATAATAAATTTGCTATGAAAACTGAACATCGTAAAGCTAAATTCATTTAATGAAAAAAGTAAAATGGGAATTAAAAAAACATATCAGCGAATTACTGCAATTCTACAAAACTTTGAGCTCAAAATTTAATGAATGCTTGGTCTATAAAATGCATAAATTACATAAGCTTTGGTGGCATGGGTGAATGGTGCTCTCCAACTAAGTTGCAACATTGGAGGACTTGTTGAGGATTACTCCTCCATATTTCACTTGGAACCACTTCATTGCATCCTCCTTTGTGCCACTGTGCTGGGTTCCAACACGAGACTTCCACCTACAACGACGGCCCACTCGGTAACCAGGGCAATCCAAAAAACGCAGAAATCCATACCATAAATACTAGTTGTAGGGTCATACCTGCAAAGAATAGTCAAGAACACAATGTAAATGAACATATAAACAAACTTGTTTAAAGAGCCTTTGAAAACACGATGTTTGATTATCCTAGTGAATATAGATTTTAACAAATCAGTTTTGGAAGAAACAACAAATAGACGAGTATGCATAACATAGTGCAACTAGCAAACGAAACGATCTGTCGACTTAACAACACAAAGGTTACAGAAAATCTACAAAAATATGAAGTCAGATGTTCCAACACAAATATATCCTTGATGTATCATGAACATACTAAGCATATTCACAATTATTCAGAGGATAGTTAAAGAAAATCACACATTTATGGTATTAATAACAGTGAACACAAATAAATGCAGAAGAATCTGCATGAATTCAGCATCATCACACAGTTTGGGAATGAACCAAGGGTGTCTCTTCCTGAATACCAAAGCCAAAACAACCAGTCTCACTAAAGTTCCTCCTCAATGATTCATATTCCTTAACCTACAACCCACTTTCAAGGAGTTGCATTGCCTTATCACCCTGACTGTGGCATAGAATGCAATCTCTTCATTAGGCCTGATTCTGAAGGACCTCATAGTGTATCTTGCTGTTAACCAAAAACAGAACAATGTCGTTAAAACAGTAACTCAATTTTTTACTTCATATGGCATAAATTTTGTACAAAAATGGAAGAGATAAGCTTCAATTAAGAAAAAGGCATAAACCATTTTTCTGTCCTCGCATGGTCATAAGCTATATCCACTGTAAAATTAACTTATTGAGCAGAACGGTCACTTCCAAATCAGTTAAAGCATATATTAAACTTTTAATGAACCATATTATTATACCAAGCAATCAATAATAACACATTTGATCAGGAGGTTATGTTAGTCAACCAGAACAAAAACATATTTTTCATTGGAGAATTTTTACTTGGTCCTTATTTTTACGATGGAAATGAGAAAGCACAACACTTTCATTTTTTGCTTAAAGGGCCATT